TGATTTTATAATATTTTATGTCGATAAAAATCGTAACGTTTGATAAATTAATACAAGAAAGTTCTTCAAAGTCTTACTATTTACTATCACTAAACCCCATTTTTCACGAGCTTTCATTTGGTATAAAATTCATGATATCTCCGATTCGAGATCATAGTGTTACCCCCCTGGAATAATATTATTTACCACCCTGTAGTATTGTCTTTAGAATTTGACAGTATTCGTGGTTTTTACAATACAGTTGTGTTAAACACTTGAATCCATGAGAAAAGTATGACTATAAACTCAGGCCACATTAAAGTAATACGTTAGAACTTTTTAGAAGATTAATATAGAAATGATATTCCTCAAAATGTTGGAAAGATGAAATCATCTAGAGAAAGAATAAAATCAGAGCTATCATAATTAAGAAGGAAGAAGGGGAGAGCACCAACTCGTGTCGTTTCTTCTGTTTTTCTTTCTTTATAGAAGTTACGTTTGAACACATGCCAAGGTAAAGAACGATGAAATTCTCATTTTTTTTTATCCTCGTTGGTTCAAAGAGTAGAATGGTAGCTAGTCATATTATATGACACGCGAGCAATCAGTGCATTGGTGCTATTATTCACTCACGAAAGCGTTTCTGGAACAAACGAGAAAGAAAGAAAGAAAGAAAAAGAGAATAACATCGTTTCTCTTCATATAAAAGCACGTGTTTGACTTCCGAGTACTATTCTACATTGTCAATCTTATTTTAATTATTGCGCGTTTTTCTCTTTATTGTAACGATTAGAATGGGTGGTGGCAGTTCGAAAAAACCATTCAATGAATGGGATTTGTTCCCATTCATCAATGTTACTGGTGAATATTGAACTATTCTCTTTATTATTGTTCATAAAAGAATTTTTCGGTGAACTTAGGTATTCCTCTATCGACAGTCGAAAAGATCTATAAAGATTTTCTTCTCGCCACCGGAAACGACAACAAAATAGACAAGAAAGAATTTTGTCGTTTATACAAGAAAATGTACATAAATAGTCAAGCTAGCAGTCTTCACAGCGCTTTACCACCATTGCTCACTGAACACGATTTGAATAAGATGTCGGATCATGTATTTGAACTTTATGATTCTGATGGAACAGGTATGATCTTCACCAGGCCTTATCAAATTATTTGATTAATTATTATTTTTGTAAAATTCAGGAAAACTGACATTCGAGGGTAAATCAATGTTCAAATGGTGTCTTTCATGAGATACAATCTATATTTGCTTATTAATAGAATTTGCTGAAGTTTATCTGATGCTCAATCATTATCCAGGTATATCGACAAATGGTGTTACATTTCGTGATCGATTTAACTACATCTTGGATCAAGACAACCCAACACCAAGTAAGAAAAATTCTTTCTTTTCTTTTTTTGGATTAGTTATTATTCTTCTACGTATTTACAGATTTTATCACACGTAAACAAGGTGAACGGATGTTCAATCGTCTCAATAGATATAACAAGTCAGTGTTCCTAGTTTTATTGTTTCATCAAATATGTTTCTCATTTGTTGTTCTAGTTGGATAAATTCGAAAGACACAACATCCTCTGACACGTCAAAACCGGTAACTAATAGTTGGGAATCTCATTGGAGCAAACTCGATGATGGTAGTGATCGGTAAGTATTTGTTTTTACTTTTTCTATTTTCATCATTTATCTTACTTCATTTCCAGTGTGCCGAAAGAGAAGTTTGTCGACTATATCACTACTTTGAATGATTACAAACATCATTTCGATCCTGCTACAGTCTGAACTGAAATATACCATTGACAAGTACAATCTAACAAAATTGCGTTTTTTCTTATTTTTAATTCTATGTCATTTCGTCTCATATATCACAGTATATAGATTATTTTTAATCTAGCCGCAAATTCTTTTTTTTTTTATTTCTCTGTCCAAAAGTGGCAATGTCGAAAGACTTAACACTTGATTTCAAACATTTGAACCTTTGCTATAATAACCAATGATGGATGTCTTCATTTTGCTACATTATAACCGTTCATTTTTCCGGTTATGTTTACATGAAAACGTATGGGAAAATTCAATGCTCATATCTTGAACTTGGCATCTCGGTCTCCTCCAGGAAGTTCGAAATTGCAGTGTGTGACATTTTTTTCGGGATTTCTGTTTCTGTTCCTTTCTACTTTATTCATTATGAACGCCCCAGACTCACACCCAAAACAAGGCTAATATCTTTCAAATAATTCCATTCTAATTCTTATGTGTGGGCAAACTTAGGTAAGGCATCTATAATATTCTGGGAGAATAAAAATGATTCAGTGAATGTATCCTTCAATATCGATGTTTCAATTAGCTATTCTATTCTGTCAAATAATAATACATTATAACATTGAATCGAGTTTTGTTTCGAAGTTTCATCGAATAGCTTGTTTGAAAGATCATATCTCTATATGAATATTCATCTTGCACTTCTTATTGTCTTACAAGTTCAATAGTGTGAAACTGGATAATTGGATTTGATGTGTATGTACGTTCTAGGACACTAACTACATAAACTTCAATACTTCTACTTCCTATCATACACCAATACCTTCTATGTGCATCATCTTGTCTTATCTTTGTTTTTTTAAGGTTTAGTTATTTATTTGAAAGCAAACTATTCAAATGTAGAGTTGTGTATAAGAACTCAATGCAAGTTAAAGAAATATTGAAAGATACGAAACGTCAAGTCTATTTTATCTACATATTCTATTTTTTTCAACGAATCAGAAGTATATATTTGACACTTGTATGTGTAGATAAGAAATCGTCCTATTTTCGTACCATTCTCTTCCTTAGAAAATATATAAATAACATCAAGAGAATATTTTTTTTTCTATTTGGCTTACTGTAGTGACATGCTGGCGCTGTTTGTAATAAGTTTTTGTACAAATGTTCTGATTCCCATACGGGCGCTTACACCTTACAAAGATTGCGGATCCGAAGCAGGTGTTATTCAAAGTTTTGATATTCCCGGTTGTACTATGCCACCTTGTATATTTATTAAAAGTCATACATATTCCATGAACCTAACATTTGTAGCAAAAGCTTCATCGAAAACGGCAAACATTAGTATTTATGGTAAGAAAACAGAAAACAGGGTGGGTGTGGGTGTGGGTCGAAAGAAGAGACACAAAACAGTCAGACTCCGCTGATGCTCACACCTATCCCACACCCACACCCTAATTTTCAAAAAAAGCTTCATTTCCTAGAATTACATAGGAAAACACTTTTGGGAAACGATCCTCGTGCATAAGATTATGTCAACTAATGGACAGATCATTCTTGTTTTATTAGAAGTTTATGGATCTTTTCTTTGCCTGTGCTCTTTTCAGCAAAAAAGTGATAATAATTTTTTGGTTAATGCGAATATTTAGGTGTCTTCTCGTCCTATGTAGTCAATATTTCTCATTCAGCAACTTCAAGCTGCATTTCCACTGCAATAGTGCAACTTGAGCCATTCATTTCAGATCCAACCATTGGCTTAGTCTTTAGTTTGCAATACATGTTTTTAACTGAACAATTTTGATTGATCATGCGAAGTTGAGATGTAGCATGTCTGATATCAAATGTTTGCGATAAAACAAACACACTATATCCATCTCTCAACTCTTCTCTGATTGAGACTTTATCCCATTTCTTATCTGGTTCACCACCATCGACCTTTTTGATTATTTTTTGTTTGTTATCTACCACACATACAGTCATTGCTGCTCGGTCGTTATGTTTAACTCTGATTGATATCAGCTGAACAGGTGATGTCAGTTATAATTGATAACCTCGTGCGCCCCGCCGTGTTGCTCATTAGGATTTCAAGCTAAGTTCCACATAACTGTGTTTGTATGTATTGGAACCACAACTTGTTTGGCAGATGTTTCAGGTTTAAGTATAGGTTTGTCTTGTACAGAAGGAAGTTGATTTATAGATGATGGGCTCAGTGTAGAGATGAATTCTACCATTTCTTTTGCCTTACGATCAAGAGGAAGTGTGGTAAGTGTATTTTGATCTATAGTTATCTTACAGCGTAACGGGCAGCCAGAACCTCCATTCCTAACCAGATTCTGTAGACATTTGAAGCAGTAAGTGTGTGAACATGGTAAAATGCGAGGATCATCGAAGTTGTCCATGCAAATCCCACACTCAACAAGCTGTTCCAGTTGTTTCATTGTAGAAGAATTATTTGCTGTAGCCATCCTTTTAAGAAAGAAAAGGCTTTTTTAAGGAACTGGCCCACAAAATATAGAATTTTTCGGTATCCACGGTAGACGGAAAGGTTTTGACAGATTTTTGTCAACCTTCTCTAGACAGAATACGACGAACTTTCCATCACAACTCTCAAACACTCAAGACGATTGATTTTTCAATGTGAAATGGGACTTTTAGAATGAGATTATATTCTCTGTTTAGTTTTATTCGAAAGAAAGTCTAATATTCTATTTTCAACTGCAGTATACTGACAGTGTCGAACATGGTAGATGTTTTGCGCTATCTTTGGTTTGCCCAATCGGCCAACAGTTAATTTTTAGCGTTGGCGGTGTGCAAGCGAGGCAATAAGATGTTATTGCTTCCATCCAAAAACATTCTCTTCCTCTTGTGTGCCAAGCGAACAGAAGGAAAAACGCATTAAAAAAAAAGCTCATTGCTTCATTCTCTAAAATTTGTATTGCTTTCTTGAAAATTATGACTAGCGAAAGAAGAAGAGCAAAAACATCGAGATTTTGGAAAGGATCAATGTTTTTCTCAAAAATTAAACAGGGAATCGTTTGCAAAAGTCAATTATACGTACTGAAATTCAGTTGTAGACTATAAAATGTTCATCCATAAAATATTTTAACTATTCATAAAACAATAAGACTGTTCTTCAAGATTTCGGAGCTGTAGGATTTTACTAGTCACTTTAATATTTATAATCAAAGCAAGAGAACTTTTCAGCATATATTCGTGCTCTGAACACGAATATGTGTGTTGTGAAGAAAACGAAAAAAGCGATATATATATTCCTTTATCATATAAGTAGTGCACTACGTTATAGGTATAAAAAATTTTCATAGTGCTTTAGTGACCAAATCACACACGATCCAATCCGTCATCTCTCAACAGAACTCTCCACTTTAAAAAAATCCGCTTCGTGAAAAACCTTAACATGTTCGGAAATTCTCTTGCAAATCAGAAAAGATTTGCGAACATTAGAAATGTTTTTTTAGGAACACTTTCTTGGTTTCTGAGGCGCCAAAAACCCTTAGGTTTCGTAAAATACCGATTGCAATATTCTGAAGGTATTATGAAGTACCTACTTCTTGCTATCGAAAACTTAATATTATCCGGAGGAACTGCGATGATATTCCAGCAAACTCATGTTTCAGGAATGCTGTGACTCTTAGTCGAATTAGTATGCGGGAATAGCGTTTTCATTCTCGAAAGGGATCCGAAAACACTTGATCCAAATCCTCTATCATTAGGAACCAATATCGGTTTTCGAGTTTCTTTGAATGTCTCGAAAGGTTTCCAACATTTTACAAACTATTCTAATATTCATTTGAAAATTTATGATTAAATTCCAGAATCTACTTAAACAAGCGTTTTCAATGTTTGAACTTTCTTTTATGATCATTGTTCGCAAACTCAATCTTTCTCCATCGAAAAACAAAGGATCATTTTATCTTTCTCTTCAGGATGATTTCAAGATCAATTAATAAAGTAAGTTGAATCTTTCTTAATGAAACACTACTAATTCATTTCATTTTTCTCTTTAGGTCGATTTTAAGACAATCATAATGGGTGTGGGTGTGGGTTGTTGTTTTGTTCACATCTGAAACTTACACATCCATCCACACCCCTATTCAGAACTCGAAAAAACGCATGATTCTCAGGTAAAGTAAATTTGTAGGAACTATTTTACGAGAAAGAAAAGCCACAAGCGGAGTTTTTGAGAGTTCTGATGTAAACTTGGTGATACTCTGTCTGAGCAAGCTGTACAAAGATCTTCAGCAATGCCTGCTCGCCGTGAATACTGAGATTTTCATTACTTTTTCTTAAATTTCAGTGACTGAATGTGATTACGTACCTTTTTTTTTTACAGAAATCTTGAGTTACTGTTTATTATAAAATGTGACGCTTCGTTATTCGTTTTGTGCTCTCCAGAATTTTATATAAATTATAATTCACAACCACTATACAGTGATGATGAAATAAGTGATGCCTTACTCTTTTATGATGAAATTAGAAGTTTTCTTTCTTTTCTTTCGTTCATGTTGTTTCGCTTACACATGTGTTCTTATTTCTATTGACTTTACACAAATATATTTTTCATTTTTTTCGCACGAAGGAACATTCTCATGTGTCAAAGCTCTTTTTTAGTTGAGACTTCGTACATCTTGTAGATCTTAGTGAACTATGTCTACTCTGAGAAGAGCTTGTGTCTCTGGTTTGTTTCTGTGGAGATCGAACATTTTTAGTTAATTTTCGGTGCAGGATCCGATTTTTTCAGCAAGACCATATTGTCAAATTTTGACCTAAAACTTTGGTCCCACATGGAGACATCATTTCGATTAGTTTGCATAAAAATTTTCGAGCTCTTGAGTTCCCTATCTGCGAGATATGAAGCTTTCAAAAAAATTACATGCTGTGTATATTAGCTATTGAGAACAGCCTATACATTGAAAATTCCATATCTCAAAGATAGGCGGTGCAAAAGTTCTGAAATTTTTTATGGAAACTAATCTAAATGACATCTCTATGTCGAGCGAAAGTTTCAAGTCAAAATTTGACAATATGGTCTTACTGTAAATGTAAGATCTTATAGCCAGAATTCACTAAAAACATTCGATCTCCTCATAAACAAGTCATGAACACGAACTCATCTCAGAGTAGACATAGTTCACTAAGATCTACAAGATGTACTAAGTTCCGACTGAAAACCTCTCCGATACCGGAGAATGTTCTCTTAACAATTCTTACTAATTTAATTTTTTATCGTTGTACTATTTGAGTTAACTATCTCGTTCGTTTCCATGATTTGCCCAATCAATGACCGACTCATTCTTCATAGCTTTTTCATTTTTATCCAGTGTATAATGTAAAATTTTTTTAAATTGAGAGCTGATATAATTGATAGATCGATATTCTCATGCGAGCGACTCGACATAGGTCAGTCTTTTAATTTTAGTGCTTTCATTGAAATATGTTACTCGGACATACCCAACATAGATACAAATGAAGTGATCGGACGTTATTGATCATGTCAATCTTTCATATTTCTATTTATTGTTTAGTTTTTCTATCTATATTATTATTCAAAATCTATTGAGCTCGACTGACATCATTAATAAGAAAGTGCTTTATTCAAAACTATTTCATCAGATTGTTTTTTTCTGTATTCTTTTACATTATACTTTTTGTCGTAAACATATAATAACTGACGTCTGAACCTAGTTTAGCATTCGACTATATAAAAGACATCTGTTAAAGCTATATTAATATTTAAAAAATGTTTTCAAATAATCGACCATTTTTTGATGATAGTAGTTTAATGTATATAATTGGGATGGTTGCTTAGATGTAGTCTTCAAAATGTCTATCCTTAATGATTGTTCAGTTTGGAATATTCGAAAAATACAAAAGAAAGTCAAAATACATCCGAAACTTATCATAAACGTTTTATACATGTTATTTTCACACAATGTCCGATGGTTAGATGAGATTTTTGTAGTCAAAATAGTTTTTATCGTACAGTTCCACTTGTTACTGGGCGCTTGATTTCTGAACTGAGTAACTTGTTAGAGAAAATAGTCCTACTCATAGACTTAGTTTGCTGCGAAAATAATTCAGTTGAGTTTATGACAAAGACTCTTACAAAGCAAAATTAAAATAATAGTCCATTGTTACAGAATGATGACCAGAGTGTAGTAACTAAAACCTCATCTGAACTATTTTTCTAGCAAACTAAGTCTATGGATAGTGCTATTATCTCCAACAATTTACGCAATTCAGAAACCAAACGCGCTGAACCTTATGAACGAAAACAAAATTGTAAAAACGCTCATTTTTACACGTTCATAACGCGTTAAAGTTTTGAACCAGTATATATTCGTTTGGAAACTAATCCGTTGTGATTGAGAAACAAAAATGTGAGCTTTTCATGGTTTTATTTTCGTTAAAATTTTCACACGTTTTTACTTTCGTTGTTTGTCTTATTAAGTTGTGTCAATCTGAAGGAAATTCGATCTATCATTAGAAATAGTACCGAACAATGTCAAAATAGAGAAAAAAGTTAACCTTCTCAAATTCAAGTTGATGTTCTTCATTTAAATCAACAGAAATCTCGATTAGATGACAGCAAAGAAGACACAATGAAATGCATAATGCTGAAATTCATAAAAAAACAGTTGGATTCTTTAAATAATTTGATCGATGGAAAAATGATCATAGAGTGTATTAAAAATCCTCTCAGTGTCAATCACTGAACAGAATATTATACTCAGTCTGAGTATACTAATAATATTAGTATAATAAATGAAAATATACGAGAATCTTAATTAGAGTGTAGATGGATAGCTATCGGTAAAAAGAAACTTGACATCAGAGCCTATATCCTTGTTTAAAAAAAACCAAATTACGTAAAAGGAAATAACAAGAAATGATATCTGTATATCTCATATTTGGGTGTGGGTGTGGGTGTTGGGTGACGATGAACAAGTGATATTACCCACACCCACACCCACCACCACCCACACCCACATCCACACTCGCCACCACCCACACCCACCCACACCCA